ATGCCTTTTAGTGATATTGATGCACGTCTCTTGTGTGAAAATAGTCTCAAAGAAAGTAAGTAATTAAGAAGTAGGATAAGCAGTTGGGTCAGTTAAGACAATTGCTTAGGATTCTGGTGGCAAACTTCAATCTTTTTGTGAGAAGTGCTAAGTGTGTGCTTTGTTGAATAAATGTAAATCAACACACAGTGTATCTCTGTTCAGAGGTGGTGTAATCCTCCTACGTCCAGTCTCACCCTCTTTTAGATGGATTTCACTAAAGTATTAAGTCCAATACACTTAGTGCCAATCTAGCTTTTACAACACTTAGGCCTAGATTGAAGGTTTTTCACAGTGAGTATAGCACCACTCAAAGTTACTCAGTCCTTAGATTTTTCTCAATTAATCCAGTGGGGATTAAAGGGTACTCTATCTATCTATCTATCCACACCTTAGGATCCGAACAACGGTTCTCCTAAGTGTTTACAACAATTTGTGAAATGTTACAAGAAAGTTCTAACCTCCAACTAGGAACTAAACTTCTATGATTTAGCAATAAATAGCTTATGAACTGGAAGTTTAGTGAAGCATGAGTTCAAGCAGGGAGTAAAGTTAAGTTTGCACTTTCTATTTTGCTAGATAGCTCTTGAATGCTCGAAGGATATTTTTCTCTACTTTGGATGCTCAAATTTTGGTTAGAAACTTTCGTTTCAGCCTATATTTATAGGCTACTCCAGTTGATTGATCTCATCCGTTGGTTAGGATGGATTAATCATGTTTGTTGAAAGTTGACAAGGATGACTTGTACATTCGTCTTCTTGTGCTGGAGCTGATTCCCGGTGATTTCTTTGTCTTGCATTATTCAGCCGCCCAACCTTCACTTCAGGAGTCAGTCCCATGTGTGCGTACACTGCTCCGGACCCCAGTACATATGTAGCATTAAATGCCGGTCAAATTTGTCTTCAATCATACATATTCAATGTATTATTCGAGTTTCTATTCTTTCAAATGTGACATTTAATTAATTTTTGAGCTGAATAATATATGTCGGTAGGATCTAAATATCCTATTAAGGTTAATAAAAATTACCTTATTGCATTTTTACTTTTCCGATAATATTTCATTAGTCTAAAAAATTGTACATTTAATTTTTCACATAATTTTAATTTAAACTCTAATACTTGAATTAACCGAGACACAATGCATAAGTGCTAAGTATAGTGGCATCATCAAAATCTATCAAAATTGGGTACTAACAGGGGATTTAAGCATTTGGTCTAACAGGGGATTTAAGCATTTGGTGTAAAGATGGATCAAGAACGTACAGTCCAGCACTAAGAAGAGACAAATAATGGCTGCCACCAACATGATTCTTCTTAACTGATTCAACAAAAGATTAAATATTTGACCATTTCAAATCCAGAAAAAGATCTTTCATAACATTTGAGGGAACAAAACAAGAAAACCCCAAAATTTAAAGCTGTTTTTCTTGAAACTTGCACCAGGAAAAATAAAGGTTGTGGGTTTATATGCAGACTTTTCCAGAAAATGTAGGAGAGCAATCGAACGAGAAAATGAACACTAATGAAGTCGGTAAACCACCGCGTGGCTTCCTGCTAAAATTTTCAGTTCATTCTCTAAGAGAACCTTCTTTGACCAGTTTTTATTGGGTTGAGTGGGGTTATATGTTAGCGAAATACATACTTAATGTATTGCGTTGTAATGGAGTAAAGAAACGTCAATGACACCCCATCTTGAGGCTCCCCAACCCTAACCGGAGGGTACGTCGAAAGGATGTAAATTTGACTATAATCACAATCTGACATATAGAGAGTGATGTTCTGTCCACGGTACTTGCACATGCATTTTTAGCATAGTAACCTCTCATCGCAGTTGACGGGATTCGAACCCTGGACCTAACCTGTCACGCCCCGGACCTAGCCGGACACGTCAACAACCCGCCGTACAGTACGAATAGTCAATCTGCAGTCCAACTCATCCATACTATACAAGGCGTCTTGAATACCATTCACACATAGTACATCCATAAACAATCATAATGTAAAACATTTATTTAAAGCAGCAGAAACATTTAATATAAGTGTTTATGCCACACCTTGGGAAACATGAGCATACAAGCCCCCAAATAATTATTCAAAAATAATATCCATGAGCATTATTTAAATTGTTTTAAAAACAGAAACAGAAGAAGCACGAACCAAGTCTTCTTCCCTTGATCTCCCCGAAACAACGGGCGGTGGTAGCAACCTTCAAGTTCTACCTGAAACTGTGAGGTGGCCTCCCCCGTGAAGGGGAGGTCAGTACTTGGAAGCATTTGACAAGTACAATGACAACTATACCGAGTATAATCAACGCTTTAACTTCTAAGACCCTCAAAATAGGGTGATATAATAATATAAATAATAATTTATATTTCCCACTTATTATCTCTATAATAAGTAAATTCATTTATTTGTCGGCACACGGCCCTTCTCATATATTCTTTGCATTTATCTTTTGTACAACCTGACCCGTGGGTCTTATTATTTCTACGGGATTTGCTACCGCTGTCGGAGACCTCATGGGGTTCTCGGTTCGGATTTCAACATCCCGCCCCTGGACACATACCCATCATCCCGTAGGAAGGTAAGGCCCTTCGGGGTCCTATCTTATGTGTTACCGCTACCGGAGCCTAGTTAGGCCTCCGATTCGGATTCTACCCTAACCCGTGATCACGATGTAAGTCCATGCTATCCAACCCCGCTCTCTAGAGTCGGGAAGGGCCATGGTCCTTACTTATTTCCATACTTCAACCGGTTATCCTCAAGGACTACCGAACACACCCGTAGGCCAATCCTATATCTAGGATCAATTTATTATTTACTTTATCTTGGGTATCCCTTAAGGCCTACCCCTAGTATAACTTAAAGTTCACACTCTCCTACCTTGAAGCATCTCTTAAGACTACTTAAGGCATAAAATTTCACAATCCAACCTTAGGATAAATCTTAACATCTCATGTTAATGTCCAACTAGTATCTTAATACTAGTCAAATTAATTCCAACAAACCAAGTTCTCAACTCATAATCATATAGACAATTCCAACTGATTTTTCCATTGAAAATATCATTTATTTCAATATTCAAATATCACTTTTAATCACTCATATATTCTAATATGATGTAAAAGTATATTTCAACACATGTTTCATAATCAATTCCACTTTCAAGTCAACATACTCATAACACATGATTATACACAATTTACTCTTAAATTTGTATACCATGCTCCTTTTCTTTTTAGACATTGGTCTTCTCATTCTTAGGCATTATTAATCATTAATAATCCATAAAAACACATTTAATTACCTTCGGTAATCTCAAGAAATTAACTCACTAATTATAAGCAATATAGTCAGCCATCATCACCTTATGATGTGCTCAACTAGCTGCCTAGCGGAACCCCCTCGATCCGTCCTCGTTCTAGGCCGTTCAAGAGTGAAAAATCTGGAAATCAAGTGAAAGTCGGGCGGCTTTCGTGAAAGGTGGGCGGCTTTCAGGCCTGCAACTCGAAAACAGTCCCCAACAATGGCGGTTTCCCGGCGGTTTCGACTCCTATCGATTCCACAACTCTTCTAAGTTAAATACCACCATTCTATATCACTATTCTACACTTTTAAACGTGTAGAACATCATGTTTAATCCACCATATGATTTATTAAAAATCATACACAAATAAATTAGTTAAAAGAACTATTTGAGTTCTTACCTTGATTTCTAGTCCTTTTGTGTTGGGTTTCTTCCTTTCTTGCTCTCTCCTTGCTTCAGCTCTGTGAGAAGCTTTCCTAGAGCTCTCTCTCTCAATGGTTGGTCGTGTGGATTGCAAGAGGATAAAGGGGAGGGGTTCCTCCTCAATCAAAGGGAGTAATATGCCAAAAAATAATGTAATGAGGGGTGTGATGTTGTCTCCAGCCACCCTCTCATTAAAAGTCCGCTCCCAGCCTCACTTCCTTGTCCTTTGTAATACATGAAAACGTGGGGTGGCCTCCACTCATGTGGGAGGTCATCCCATTATGCTCCGGGGTGTGTAATCGGCCCCGAAAGTTGTATTTCTCGGACCGTTTTGATTATATTTTATTTTATCGGACCAAATAAAATATATCACGCGTTCCCACTATATATGGGCCTTTAGAATAGATGTACATTCCCCAACATTAATTTAGGAGTCTCCGAAACTCACTTCAGGCTGTTATCCGCTAAATTACCAATACCGGTAATTGGGCCCCGTTTGACCAACCGGTCAACTCCATGCCTTTCCTATGGCCCAAATAAAATATCCACCACCATATAGATGTCATCTAGACCAAGATGAATATAATATGTGATTCTGGAATTATCGGGCGGTCCCCGTTCCCGCTGTGGGTCCCACATGCAATTTACTATTCACGTAAAAGAAATAATAAAATTTAACAATTACGTAAATTCATAAATCACCCTTCAAGATTTACTACATAATTTACTAAAAGTAAACATGCTTGGGGACGGTGTCACATAACCCTTGTGGCACTCCTTTGCTACCATGGATACCGGTTCTTTCCGGTTTAACTCGGATGACATCCGGTTATTAATCGGACTTGGACTGGTAACCGGTTTTCTAAATTTCTTTAACCTAAAATCGGACCGGATTACATACCGGTCCGGTCCGGATCCGGTTTTACCGGTCCAGTTCTGGTCTGGTTTGCCGGTTTGAACCGGTTTGTGCACTGTCCTAGCTACTCCCACCGGTATGGAGTAAAGAAATGTCAAATGTCATATGGGTGGATATTTCTTTGCTCATCATTCAGATATAAAGTGGTCTTAAAGTCTTAATAATTTTGTGGTGATGGGTGTCTAAGAATGTTTTTACTTGGATCATTTTCAATCTTACATCAGACTAAATCAGACTAAAGATCTAAAACAGACCAGATCTCGGTAGTTATAATTATAAAATAAAGGGTGATCGGACATTTATCCCACTAGATCGAATCAGTTGAGACTAGATCGACTTAAACATAATGAGTAGGGGTGTCTTCTCAAAATAAACCCAGCAACCTGCATAAACCAGCAACCTGCATAAACCATTTCACCCGAACACGTGCTATTACAATGGCCGTTTGCAGACATCTCTACCTATCTATATTCCGTCCATTGCCGTTGACTGGATGAGCTCCCCATGTCTTTGTTAGGTAAGACCTTTCCTTCATACTGAAACCCTTGACCATTTCGCGCGGCGAGATTTTTAGTTTTCATTATTTTCAAATCCAACAGTTCATCCTAAGAAAAATGGATTTCGTTTTATTTTTTATATAGATCAGATCAGTGTTCTCGTTCAAGGCTGTTAGGGTTTCTTATGCAATAGTATATTGTGCTGTTATGCAGATATTGCTTATGCAGGGTTTGTTTTCCAGAACGATCTTTGTGCAGTTAATTGTCAAATTGTTTCCTGCAGTAAATACTATTCGTGGAATGGTATTCGGCTTTCATCTTTGCGGAATTCATCATTCTGTTTACTTGGGAAAACTCATGGATTTGGGGGACTTAAGTTATACCGGGGTGAGTTGAAGATAAGAGCAGTGGCCACTCTTGAAAAAGAATCAACCAAAGCTAACCAGATAAAACAGGACGGTGCTGGTTATAAACGTAGCATTGTAACAAGTATTGATTCGGGAAGTTTGAGTTGTAGTGTTAATGAGTCTACTGAATTAGACAAAAGGGAGAAATTAAGACGGGGTAGGATTTCTAAAGCTAACAAAGGGAAAACGCCTTGGAATAAAGGCAGGAAGCACAGTCCAGGTAACCTGATATTCACTTGAGTTTTAGCTTTTTCCTAGCATTGGACAATTAAGGTCCTCAATCATGATAACCACTGACCACTTGCAGAAACCCTGCAGAAGATTAGAGAGAGAACATGGATTGCAATGCAGGATCCTAAGGTGATGTGATGTAAAATGAATGCTGCAGAGAAAGACTAGATTAACCTATTGATTTAGGATTAATGCTTGGTTGTGGGAAGCTTACGTTAACTTACAATGTGAATGAATGTTGCTACAATATGACAAGTTTGGCTATAGGTTTATTAGTTTATATTATTGACTAGTCAAATTCAACCTGCACAGGTAAAGATGAAGCTGAGCAACTTGGGGCATGTTCAAAGGTGTGTTTTAAAATTAATATATAAGACATTTGCTATGATTTCAATATACAGTTGTTCTATTAAAATTTTAATCTTATATGAGAAATCTTGAACAGTATTTTTTTGTCTATTAGAAAGAACTATGCAGTGTAGCATCTATTAGGTCCAGTAACCAAGGTTGATGGCCTTTCAATTTAGCTATATTATATAGGTTCTATTTTTACCAGGGCAGGTCTTTAGCAATAACGCTCTATAGTCTAACGGCTTCATAAGCTAGTTTCCTACTAGGCCTGTCTTTCCTCATGAACCATGACCAGTATAGGAGACCATTGGATACATTTTATAAAGATAGATAATACGGACTACACTATTCCATCATTTGCAATGGAGCCAAAGACTCGCTTTTTTTTTGGCTTGGGAATATGATTGGAATAAAGAAAAATGGATCACTAAATTGTCTGGGCTTCTTTGTTATGAAGCAGCAGTCAGTCCATGTAATTTTCGACGCGATTTTCACTATGAGTCATCCGGAAACAGTCTCTTTGTGCTTTAGTATAGGGGTAAGACTGCATACATCTGACCCCCCTTACCCCACACTAAGTGCACATTCCAAATGTTCTTCATAATCTTTGGAACTGAACTCAACTTCTGGAATGGTTTTTAGTACTTTGGGGTCCAGACCTCTTACGCCCACTTCTTGGTTGTCATCCGCGGTGCTAAGGCGGTCTGGGTGGTGTGGATTTAATCATTTGGTGTAAAGATGGATCAAGAACGTACAGTCCAGCACTAAGAAGAGACAAATAATGGCTGCCACCAACATGATTCTTCTTAACCGATTCACCAAAAGATTAAATATTTGACCGTTTCAAATCCGGAAAAAGATCTTTCATAACATTTGAGGGAACATAACTTTGCAGCATTGGGGTAATGATGATGATGATGATGATGATGAGATAATACGGACTACACAATATTAAACCAAATTAATGATCACGAGAACTCTTATATGTACTGATAAATATATTGGTGTACCCCTTGTACTTAACTTCTAGTTATTGATTGCAAGAGTGTTATCTGAAGCATCATGAGACTTGTATAAGTATACTAATAAAATTGATCTCCAGGTTGATTATAATGATCAATTACAAATTTACAATAGCCCCCCCCCCCCCCCCCCCCCCCCCCGATTATATAAAGTTGAGTAGAAACCTGAATCACATAGAACATGGCGTTTGACTTCCTTATGCAGTAAGCAAACAAGGTTAAAAATTGGAATCAGTGTGCAACTTGGGTGGAAAAGGCGCCAAAAGATGCTGAAACTGCAGGAAACCTGCTGCTATGAGTGGCAAAATTTAATTGCGGAAACTTCTAGAAAGGGCCTTCTTGGTGAGGAAGAGTTGGAGTGGGACTCCTACCACATTTTGGACCAACAACTTGAAGAGGATTGGTCACAGGGTCTTCTGCAGAGGAAAAAAACACTTAAGTCAGAAGGTAACAATAGGGCTCCTAAATCTACTGAGCAAAGGAGGAAGATTTCTGAGGCCATTTCTGCCAAATGGGCTGATCCAGTTAAGAGCTATTTATTTGTTTTGCGCTCCCCCGAATTGACCCACCTTATCACACCCGCCCTGTTTTTCTTAAGAACGCTGGTTATCACCCAATCATGGTCCAAGATAGTGATATGGGCATTGATACCGATATTTCAGCCATTTCAGATGGCTGAATTGTTTCTCTGAAATGGATGAATCTGATACAATGCTGTCAAAAGGCGGCCATGGCGGAAACATAGCAGATCGGTGTATGAGATTTATGAAGAATGGAGGGTTATGGTTGCACCAGAGTTTTTTCCATCTGCCATTAATGACACTGATCTGCTGAGTAAATATTAAAATATATTTGTTGAATAAATCAAAGAAAACAATATCAGTAAATGAAAACAACCACGTCATTTTTAAATTTCCTCACACTTCAGCTCAAAAAGTATCTCTTGTACTTTTTTTATTATTAGCTGGTTCAAACAAGATAATGAAATAATTTTTATTTTGTGAACCATCTGACTGGTAAACTGGAAAAAGGTATACCTGACTGACACTTTCCTCATTTACCTGTATTTGATTACTACTTACTCATGACATATTTTGTTCTTTCCAAATAGGATTACAGAAAACGAGTCTGCTCTGGTCTGGCCAAGCATCATGGCGAGCAAGAAGGGGTTGAAAGAAAGCCGAGGAAAAGGCCTAGTGGTGATGGACAGACCAGAATAAGAAAAAGCTCATCCATGAAGAAAATTAATATAGATGGGTCAACTATTTGCATTACAGAACAACGAATTAAAAGGGATACATTGAAAAGAAGCTATACACCAAAAAGCAAGGATTCTTTAACAAGATCCAGGCTAGAATTGTTGATCAATATCAGGTCACGAAGAGCAGTGGCCAACAACAAGAAATTTGAGGCTGTCAAAAGAGCAAAGTGAGTTCTTTTTCTCTCTGCCTGGCTTCTGAGTCACTTATCTTGGTTTCTTCTTTTATATAAGAGCATCGGGATATGAAAATGGTAGGTTAGAACTTAGAGACATTAAACAATGAAAGTGAACACAATACATGCTACTATTATACATGCCGAAATCTGGGAAGTCTAAGAAAAATGGCATTTATTGCACATCTATGAATCTGTTTGATATGGGTAAATGTGTTTGGAAGGCTAATATTGATAAAATTATGGCTGTATCAACTAAAATTGTAAGTAAATATATATATATATATATATATATATATATATATATATATCCTTACTAAGTTAAATGAAATAATTTCTAAAAAGAGGCTAGAAGTGTCATTCCCTTTCATTTCAGCAAAAATGTAACCTCTGCAGTACTTTAATTATCACCAATGGATTTAGCCATACTCATCAAACTGAAATAAGTCGGTGTTTAGTAAAAAATGTTTGATAGGAAGAAAACACATGCTTAGAAGCGGGCATTAAAACTCATATGGAAGATGTCCCTAACTCAGCCATACTCATTAAACTGAAATAAGTTAGTCGTCGGTAAAAAAAGGTTTGATAGGAGGAAAGCACAAGCTAAGAAACGGCATTAAAATTCATACCAATTCTGAAAGATGTCCCTAACTTTCTTTACAAATCGTGGTCTTGTTTTGCGATTACTGTGCTGATGTACTTGTTATTATTAGTGTTCTGATCTATTTTTGGATAAGTTTAATTTGAAGGGGAATTTTGTATACTTTATTAATATTTTCAGGTTATTAATTGCAGAGGCTGAGAAGGCGGCGGAAGCTCTTGAGATTGCAGCCACGAAAAGTCTGGTTGCTCGAGCATCGCTTGTTGAAACCAGGAAACTTATTGCAGAAGCTGTCCAATCCATTAACTTCATAGATGACACGGAAGAGATGTTTCCTGATGCATATGAGGGGGCACATGTTGATGATTCTGTAAATGCAGAAGAGATTGAAGGTTTGGATTCTGAGATTGAAGATCGAAAAATGAATGAAGTCCAACTGGCTAATAATGAAATTCTTAGCTTAAAGTTTACTGACAACTCCTCCCATGGTTTAAAATTGAACGGGAACAAAACAGCAATCTTGTCAAGCTCAAGAGACTATGATTTATTACTAGACTGCAAGGAAAAACTGTACCAGACGGTTTCCGGTGACACTGTCTGTGACACTCATGATGACGAGGCAAATAAGATGGAAGACGAAGAAGAACGTTCAAATAAAATGACATTGCATCACTATACATTGCCGATAAATGGAATGAGGGCAAATGCCCCAATTAGAACCAAGCAATGGGTACGTGGGAGGTTAGTTGAGGTAAGCACATGAAGGTTAAAGTATTCATCACTTAAGAGTACATATTTATTTGGCACAAACGTTTGTGACATTGTTGTGATCGAGTTCTTTGTAATCTTAGACAAAATAAATTTAGTTTTAGTTCTTCTTGTAAGTTGGGTAGATCTCACAAAATTCCTTTTAAAAATGCTATTCATGACATTACATCTTTTGCAACTTATTCATTCTTATGTTTGCCAGTCTCCAATTATATCAAATCTTGGTTAAAAATAATGTGTCATTATTGATGATTTTTCTCGTTGTACCTGGGTTTATCGAATCACATCATGTAAACACTAATGTGTGGTGAAGAATTTTGGATGACGACTGATCCCTTGCACACGAAAGCGGCTCAGCCGCCAACCAGCAACGTCTGGCCTGGCCGTTCATTCGCAGATGTGGTCTCTAACCGTTCATCTGGCTTACTAACTACTACGCAATCGCGCTCCAGGGGCATGCCCGCTATCAATTTCTCGGAAGCTGACGTACATAATCTAGCACAGCGCCACAAGCTTTCTCTAATTGGCTACTTCTTCATAGGACGTCCAAGCATGCAGAAATTGCGTAAAACTTTTGAGGTAATTGGCTTTAAAGGTTCCTTTCATTTGGGTGTTCTTGAAAAAAAAACTTATCTTGATAAGACTTGATAGATAAGATGATTATTTGAGGTGTTGGAATTGTCAAGTTTGAAATAACTACGGTTATTCAATGCGAGTCACAAAATGGACTCTTGACTTTCGTCCCAACGTGGAATCTCCTGTGGTTCACGTTTGAATTGCTCTTGAAGGCCTTCCAATTCACTTTCATGACCAAATGGTTCTTTTTTAGATTGCTAGATTAATTGGATCCCCCCCTTAAAATAGACAATGTTACTGCTACCCTTTGACGCCCATCTATCGCTCGAGTTTTTGTTGAGCTTGATTTAACAAAGGAGATGCCATCTAAAGTCTGGATCATTTGTGGTAATAATGGCTTATCTCAGCCAGTGACCTAAGAGAATAGGCCGTTATTTTGTCTACACTGCTTGCACCTAGGGCATTTGGTGGCTAAATGCCCTAAACGTGAACCAAGACCTGTAGTGTCACAGTCTGTTATGACGTAGACTATGCCTAAAGGAGATGTGGGGACTATGCCTAAAGGAGATGTGGGTTTGCCCCATAAGGAGATGTGGGTACCTACGAATAATTCAGAGGCAGCCCTGGCAATGTGCAAAGTCTAATAAACTTACAGTGCAGGAAAAAGGAAAGGAGACTTAATTACATCAAATAAGCAAAACACTCTCACTCCCAATACAATGTCTGATTCAGATTCTGAGGTGGAAGAGATTGAAATGGAACCTCCTCCTTACAAGAACAAGGACCCAGGTATACACACAGATACATCAGCTGCAACAACTCACTCTTCCATTGAGCTTCCAAAGGAACTTCATTCTATAGAGCTTCCGGTAAACTTTCAGCAAAAATTGAGTGAACTTCTTATAAAATCTGTCCCATCTCTCTCAATAAACATTAACATACACTCTATTAAGGATGATGCTCATGTCCATATCCTGCACAAAATGGCAAATTTGGATTCAACAGTTGCTGACAATGATTACTTCTCAGACAGGGAAGACAAAAATAATCTAGAGTGGGAGATGGTCTGGCCTGATATTTCATCTAAAGTGGAAGCTATGAAAAAGAGAATATAAGAGTTTGAAGCTGATACCTCTTTTCAAGGAAGTGCTCTTCCTCAGGCCCAGGATGAGGAGGGCTTCACTAAGGTGACTACTAGGAGGAAGAGGAAGAATGATAAAGATGAAAATTCCCCTAGAATCGTCAAAAATGCTTCAAAAAAAGAGATAAAGCAGAATGATCAGTGTATAGTAGTGTCTGCAAGCAGGCTTCTTTAGCTTCCCTAACAACTAATAAATGAATTGTTTGACCTGGAATGTTAGAGGAATCAAATCTGCTAGTGCTAGAATTATATCTCTAATAAAGCAGTGGCAGGTTCAACTCCTTACCATTACTGATCCAATTGTTGACTGTACCAAGACTGATTATTATAAGCAACAATTTGGTTTTCAAAATGTGAGGACTTGTTTACTAACAGAGATATTTCCCTGTTTTCTACTTCTGTTTTTCGTTCTCCAATTTTCTGTTTTTAATTTTCAGTTTTTCTATCTTCAATTTTCTGTTTCTATTTTCTAGTTTTCCATTTTCAAATCTGAAAACATGTTCATAAATTTTTTCACCCAGTTATGTGATCATCCAGAAGACTGACACATTTACTTCACGGGTTACTCAATGGTGCTTATTAAGACTCGCGTTAATAAGCGACGCATAAAATAAGCAATGTTATGAGATCATGTTTACTTCAAAAGGTTTAAAACACCATTTAACATTCATGAACACAAATATATAATATAATATGTGGGGTCGATCACCTCATACGTGTACCCCTACTCCTAACCCCTACCCTGCCCCTATACCTCGTACCCCCACCATACACCCTACACCCAATTCCACACCTTTGACCCTGACCTCTACCCTTACCACGATCTTACACTCTTCCCATACTCCCCTAAAACCCTTCATACCCACCCATACCTACTCGTAGGGGTCGAGGTAAGGAAGGAAGGTATGGGTGGGGGTGGGTGGGGTGAGGTAAGGGGTATGGTCGGGGGTGGGTGTGGTAAGGTCTACGGGTACGGGGTTGGGTGGGGTAGTGGGTGGGTTTGGGTGGTGGTTAGGGGTAAGGGTGGGGGGTAGTGAGTAGGATTCAGGGTTGGGTAAGGTAGGGGTAGGGTAGGGAGTTGGGATAAGATGGCGGTAGGGTGGTCCTGGATCAAGGTGGGACCGAGGTAGGGGAAAGGGTAGGGTCGGGGTAGGATGGCAGTAGGGTGGGGGTAGGATGGCGGTACGAGGGTGGGGGTAGGATGGCGGTAGGGTGGGGCCGAGATAGGGGGCATGTGGGAAGGGGTAAGGTAGGGGTAAGGGGTAATATACGAGGTGTGGGTAGTAGGGTTAGGGTGGGTCGGGGTGGGGTTGAGGTGGTAGGGGGTGGCGGTACGGTAGGGTGGATCGGGGTGGGACCGAGGTAGGGGCATGTGGTAGGGGTGGGGGTAGGGTCATTGTAAGGAAAAGGGGTATGCGAGGTGGGGGTTGGGTGGGTAAGGTAGGGTAGTGGTAAGGGGTAAGGTACGAGGATGGAGGTACTAAAATGGAATCGACATCGGAGCGGGACCGGACCCACCACTAGGTGTAAGTATGCAAGTTCATTGCAGCGGCCTGTAGCATCTGCATTTTCCAAATTCGGAAAACTAGTAAAAGTCACTTCTCCAAATCATTAAGGAAAAGATAGACATGTCTCATTTTTTTTTTCGTTTTGAAAAATGGTTTGGCGAACACGTTTTTTTTGTTTTCCTTCCTCTAGTTTTCCAGCAATTTTCTTTGGTAAACACGTTTCCTGTTTTCTAGTTTTCTAGTTTTCTGGAAAACTGGAAAATATATCTGTTAGTAAACAGACCCTGATATTCTCTACTATCAATAAAATTTGGATTTTCTGGAATCCCATTGACATCATAATTTCAGATTTTATGTGGCATCCTCAATTTGTGCATATGAAAATTATTAAAGGGGCGTTTATTGGTTGGTTGACTTATATTTCTAGAAGGGCTCTTTGGGAATCCCTAATTAGTCTTTATAGGTTTGTTCAAGATCCCTGGCTAATAGGTGGTGATTTTAATGCAATTTCTACTCATAATGAGCATAAAGGAAGACCTATCCTAGAGTTGAGAAGCATTACAGAATTTTCTGAGTGTATTACATCTTGTGATCTTATTGACCCCCCTTACTCTGGTCCAAAATACACTTGGTCTGGAGTCAGAGCAAATGCTTGGGTTTGGAGGAGATTGGACAAATATTTATTCAACCCTAAATGGAATGATTATTTTGCAAAGATTCATGTTTCCATTTTGGATAAAGCACCATCTGATCATTGTCCTATTTTCATTCAATGCACTACTGATTCTATGTGTGGTCCTAGATCCTTCAAATTCCAAAATATGTGGCTGTCTGATCACACTTTTCTAGATATTGTGAAGAAGAGTTGGGAATCTTGCTCTAGAGCAGGTGGTATGAGAGGTTTGGTTCATAAACTAAAATTCCTAAAAAGAGACCTCAAGATCTCGAACAAAGACTGCTTTGGTAATATCTTTGGCAGCATTAAAGACTGTGAAGCACCTGTGATGCAAGTTGAAAAAACTTTTATGGAAGACCCTAATGAGGAAAACAAACAACAATGGTTCCATTATAAGGCTCTGCTTTCTACTAAATTAAGGCTGAAGAGGAAATTCTGGAAACAAAAGGCTCATTTAAATTGGCTGAAAGATGGTGATTCTAATTCCAATTTTTTCACTCTTTTGTGAAAGTCAGACAAAGGAAGCAAACTATTACTTTTATAACGAACTTAGAGGGTCAAAGTGTTACTTCCCTGAATGAGATTGGTGATATTGCAATCTCTTTCTTCTCCGATCTTTACTCTGTGGACCCCATGTTGAATATGAAGATCTCATGCAGTTTATACCAAATATTGTTACTGATACATATAATCATCATATGCTTTTGCAAATGCCTACTGAGGAGGAGATAAAGAATGCTGTTTGGATTTTAAACCAAAATGGTGCACCTGGGCCGGATGGTTTCAATGGAAATTTTTTAAAGAAATTTTGGCAAATTGTGGGGACTAATGTGGTCAAAGCTGTGCAGGAATTTTTTATGGGGATGCATATACCTCATGGCATTTCTAGTAGTCTTGTTGTCATTATTCCCAAACCTGATAACCCCTCTACTTTTGGTGAGTTTAGACCTACCTGTCTTTCAAATTTCATTAGCAAGGTGTGCACTAAAGTATTGACTGATAGATTGTTTATTATTCTTCCCAAACTTATATTGCCTGAGCAAATTGGTCTTATGAAGGATAAGGATATAGCTGATCACATTCTCATTGCTCCGGAGATGATTCATTCCAAAGTTAGAGGCTCTAATGTGGTGGTGAAACTAGATATGGTTATGGCCTTTGACAAATTATCATGGAGCTTTCTTAGTGGGGTTCTGGATAACTTTGGCTTCTCTAGTTCATACATTTAGTTATGAATAATCTACAGTCTACTTATCTTTCCATTTTAATCAATGGTGTGCCTTCAGGTTATTTCAAACC